CCACAGCAATCCAACAACACAATAAAATAAAAGGCATCCAGATTGGTAAGGAAGAAGTCAAACTGTCAGTGTTTGCAGATGACATGATATTGCAGATAAGAAACCCTAAAGAATCCACTCCAAAACTACTAGATTTAATATCTGAATTCAGCAAAATTGCAGGATACAAAATTAATACACAGAAATCTCTTGCTTTCCTGTACACTAATGATGAACTTGCAGAAAGAGAAATCAGGAAAACAATTCCATTCACAATTGCATCAAAAAAGAATAAAATGCCTAAGAATAAACTGAACCAAAGAAATGAAAGACTTATGCCCTCAAAACTACAAGACACTTCTACAAGAAATTAAAGAGGATACTAATAAATGGAAATGCACCCCATGCTCTTTGATAGGAAGAATTAATATTGATAAAATGGCCATCCTGCCTAAAGCAATCTACAGATTCAATGCAATCCCTAGCAAAATACTGACAGCATTCTTAAATGAAGTGTAACACATAGTTCTAAAATTCATATGGAACCAAAAAAGACCCCAAATAGCCAAAGCAATCCTGGGAAGGAAGAATCAAGCATGGGGGATCTCACTTCCCAACTGCAAGCTCTACTACAAAGCCACAGTAATCAAGACAATTTGGTACTGTAGACCAGTGGAACAGGATAGAGTCCAGATATTAACCCAAGCATATATGGTCGATTAATATATGATGAAGGAGCCATGGATATACAGTGGGGAAATGACAGCTTCTTCAACAGCTGGTGTTGGCAAAACTGAACAGCTACATGAAGAGAATGAAACTGGATTACTGTCTAACTCCGTACACAAAAGTAAACTCGAAATGGATCAAAGACATGAATGTACATCATGAAACCATAAAACTCCTAGAAGAAAATATAGGGAAAACTCTTGAATATAAACATGAGCAAATTCTTCATGAACATATCTCCATGGGCAAAGGAAACAAAAGTAAAAATGAACAAGTGGGACTATATTAAACTAAAAAGCTTCTATACAGGAAAAGACACCATCAGTAGAACAAAAAGGCATCCTACAGTATGGGAGAATATATTCATAAATGACATATCCAATAAGGGGTTGACATCCATAATATCACAAAGAGCTCATGTACTCAACAAACAAAAGCAAATAACTCAATTAAAAAATAGTCAGAGGATCTGAACAGACACTTCTCCAAAGAAGAAATTCAGATGGCCAACAGGCACAGGAAAAAAATGTTCCACATCGCTAATCATCAGAAAAATGCAAATTAAAACCACAATGAGATATCATCTTGTACACACAAAAGAAAAACAACAACAAATGTTATCAAAGATGTGGAGAAAGTGGAATACTCCTATACTGCTGTTGGGAATGTAAATTGGTTCCACCATTGTGAAAAGCAGTATGGTGGTTACTCATAAAGCTCAAAATAGAAATACCATTTGACCCAGGAATTCCACTCCTAGGAATTTACCCTAAGAATGCAGGAGCCCAGTTTAAAAAGACATATGTACCCCTATGTTTATTGCAGCACTATTTACAATAGCCAAGAAATTGAAGCAGCCTAAGTGTCCATCAGTAGATGAATCCAAAGAAGATGTGGTACATATATACAATAGAATGTTATTCAGCCATAAGAAAACAAATCCTACCATTTGCAACAACATGGATGGAGTTAGAGGGTATTATGCTCTGTGATATAAGCCAGGCAGAGAAAGTACCAAATGATTTCACTCATCTGTGGAGTATAAGAACAAAGAAAAAACTGGAAGAACAAAACAGCAGCAGAATCACAGAACCCAATAATGGACTAACAGTTACCAAAGGGAAAGGCACTGGGGAGGATGGGTGGTAAAGGAGGGATAAGGGATATAAGGGGCATTATGTTTAGCACACATAATGTAGCAGGGGGGCACAGGGATGGTAGTATAGCACAGAGAAGAGAAGTAGTGATTCTATAGCATCTTACTATGCTGGTGGACAGTGACTGTAATAAGGTATGTGGTGGGGACTTGATAATGGGGGGAATCTAGTAAGTATATATTAATGATACCAAAAAAATTAATGAAAAATAAATTTAAAAAAAAAAGAAAGTCATCCACTGTTTCAATCCCCACAAGCTGAAGTGGTTTCCCAGCAAGGAGGGTATTTAAAGAAACAGGATCTATGTTTTCCCCATTGTGGGAGCCAGATATTTAAGGAAATCTTTGTAAGGTTAAGACTAATTGCAGAGACAATGGAAGAGAAAGAGAAACTTTAGTGATCATGCCTAACCTATCATGATCTAATAAGGACAATACACTTTGAAAAATTATTTTAGAAAATTCACGTGGCTCCAGCCCTGAACATGCAAAAACTGCAATCCCTAAGAAGTTGGACAATTCAATTTCCAGAGTTACCACATTATACTCAGAATAGCCAGATTTCAACAAAGAAAATACTAAATACATTAAGAAACAGAGAAGTTTGGTCCATTCACTAAAAATAAACAATTTGATAGAATACTGAAGAATTCGATATTAGTATTACCAATCAAATACATTAAATTAACTGTGTCAATTATATTCAGTCAGCTAAAGGAAACCATGAACAAATAACTAAAGGAGGTCAGAAAAGTGATGAATGAATAAAAAGAGACTATCAATGAAGATATAAAAATGACCAAAAGAAACCAAAGATAAATTCTGGTTCTAGAAAGCACAATAAGTGAAATGAAAAACTCAGTAGAGGAATTCAACAGATTTGAGGAGATAGAGGAAAGGATCAGCAAGCTTGAAGACATTTGAAATGACATAGTGTTGAACAGTAAGAAAAACAAAATAAATAAAAATGAACAAAGCCTGAGGGACCAGTGGGGCACCATCAAACGTGAACATATGCATTATAGGAATCCCAGGTGGGGAAGAGAGATAGAAAGGGGCAGAAAAATTGTTTTGAAGAAATAATGGTCCCCAAACTTCCCCAGTCTGCATTAAGGCATTAATACACACATCCAAGAAATACAATGAACTTCAGCTGGAAGAACTTAAAGAGATACACACTGAGACATATTATAATCAAACTGTTGAAATCCAAAGACAAAGTTAGAATTTTGAAAGCGGCAAGAGAGATGTGAATAGTCACAAAGGATCTTCAGTAAAATTAACTGCTGATTTCTCATCAGAAACAATGTAGGACAGAAAGCAGTGGGATGACATATTTAAAGTCCTGAGATTACAAAAAGTAACAACAATTCTTTATGAGGAAAACCTATCCTTAAAGAATGAAGGTGAAATTAATGCATTTCTAGATAAACAAAAGCTGAGGGGATTCATTACCAGTAGAACTGTTCTAGAAGAAATTCTAAAAGGAGTCCTTCAAGCTGAAATGAAAGAACATTAAACAGTAACTCAAACACATAAGAAAAAAAATATTAGTAAAGGTAACTTCATAGGTAAATACAAAACCTAGTATTACTACACTTTTGATTTGGTTTGTAACTCTTTTCATTTTTCCTATATGATTTAAAACATAAGGGTATAACACAGTAACTATAAATCTGTTAACAGGCATACAGTGTGAATAAATATAATATGTGAAAATAACATGGAGGAAAGAGAGAATATAGGAACAGAGTGTATTATTGGTATTACTCAAATTAGATTGTTATAAATTTAAGATTCACCAAGGCAACTACTTAGAATATAGAGATATACATAAAAGGAATTAGGGGAATAAAAATAAAGCACTATAGACAGCAACTAAATATTTTGAAAAAGTCAGTAATGGAGGAATTGAGGAACAAAAAATACGAGACACATGGAAACCAAAAAGATTAATAGAAAACATAAATTCTTTTCTTCAGCTTTATTGATATATGTGCCATACAGCATTGTAAGTTTAAGGTACACATTAAGCATAATATACATAATGTACATAATATATGTACTGAGGTGGATATATTATAAAATGATTACCTCAATAAGTTTAGTTAACATCCATTACCTCATAAGGTTTGAGGTAAAAAAAAAGAATTTTTTGTCTTGTAATGAGAACAATTAAATTTACTCTTTTAGCTAGTTTCAAATACAGTACAGCAGCATTACATACCCAGTACTGATTTATTTTATAACTAGAAGTTTGTGCCTTTTGACCACCTTCACCCAATTCCCCTATACCCTATACCTACCTCTGGTGACACAAATCTAATCTATTTTTCTACATATATCTTTCTTTATCAGTAATCACATTAAATATAAATGAATTAGATTCTCCTATCAAAAGTCAGAGATTGTCAGGCCAAATAAAAAACAAAGCAACAACAAAAAAAGGGGCTCCTGTGTGCTGCATGGAAGAGATTCACATTTGATATAAAGACACAGGAATTACAAGTATAAGGATAGAAAAAGATATTTCATGCAAACAATAACCAAAACAGAGCTGGAATGACTATAATATTGTCAGACAAAGTAACTTTTAAGTCAGAAAAGTTTTTTTAAAAAAAGACAATGATACTATATACTAATAAAAGGCCAATGAAGCAAGAATATGTAACAACTTACAAACAAATATAAAACAAACAAGGAGCCCCAAAACATATGAAGCAAAAACAGATAGAATTAAAGGGAGAAATAGTTCTACATAATGGTTGGTGGCTTCAACACTTTACTTTCAATAAGTGATAAAACAGCCAGACATAAGATAAGTAGATATGGAGGTCCTGAAAAATACAATAAGCAAACTAGATCAAATAGACATATACATAGAGAACACTCTTGTGGATACAAATTGTTCTTGAGTGCACATGGGACATTTTCAAATTAATTCCTTAAGAAACTAGAAAAAGAACAAAGTAAACCCAAAGCTAGTAGAAGGAAAGAAAGAAAAGTTAGAATGGAAATAAATAAAAGAGAATAGAAAAACAATAGAGACAAGTCAGTGAGACCAGAAGTTGGTTCTTTGAAAAAAATCAACAAAATGAATAGACCTTTAACTAAGCTGACTAAAAAAAAAAAAGACTCAAATTGCTGAAATAAGAAACAAAAGTGGGGATATTACTCTGATTTCATAGATATAAAAATGATTAAAAGAGAATATATTGTGAACAGTTGTTCAACAAATTAGATAACCTAGATAATGTGGACAAATTCCTAGAAACACACAGTCTGTGAAAACTGACCCAAGAATAAATAGAAATCTGAATAGAGCTGTAACTAGTAAAGGAATGAATTAGTAATCAAAATCCTTACAACAACAAAAAAAAGCACAGGACCGCAGGACAGTATTTTAAAAAGTAAACTAGGAAGAGAGGGCAACTTCCTCAATCTGGCAAAGGCCATATGAAATGAAAAACTCACAGCTCACATTTTACTCAACAGTGAAAGCCTGAAAGCTTTTCCTCTTAGACTAGGAACAAGACAATACCTGTTGTCACCACCTCTATTCAATGTACTGGAAGTATAAGAAGTTCTAGACAGAGCAAATAAGCCAGAAAAAGAAATAGTTAGAATGGAAATAAATAAAAGAGAATAGAAAAACAATAGAGACAAGTCAGTGAGACCAGAAGTTGGTTCTTTGAAAAAAATCAACAAAATGAATAGACCTTTAACTAGGCTGACTAAAAAAAAAAAAGACATAAAATTGGAAAATTATCTCTGTTAAGAGATGAGATGATCTTATATACAGAAAACCCTAAAGAATCCACAAAAAATTTCTAGAGCAAATAAATGATTTCAGCAAAGTTGCAGATACAAAATCAACACCCCTAAATAGTTTTATTTTATACTTGCAATGAACAATCTAAAAAGGAATTTATTAAATGATTCCATTTACAACAGCATTACAGAGAATAAGACACTTATGAATAGATTTAACCAAGGAGGCGAAAGACTTGCACACTTAAAACTACAAAACATTGCTAAAAGAAATTAAAGAAGACCTGAATAAATGGAAAGATATCCCATGTTCATGAATTGGAATATTATTAGATGTCAATACTACCAAAAGCAACCTACAGCTTCAGTGAAATCCATATCAAAATTCCAATGGCATTTTTATAGAAACAGAAAAACAACTTAAAATTCATATGAAACTTCAAGGAACCCCAAATTGCCAAACTCTCTTGGGAAAAAAAAAATAAAGTTGAAGGAGTCATACTTCGTGATTTCAAAACTTACTTACAGTGAACATCGTATGTGAGCACAGTCATCTCTATTACACTAAGATTTCATATTTGAGGTGCTGTATCTTATTGAAGTATCATAACACAACTGAAAGAGATTGGGGGCTGTCACCAAAAATATGAGCAGTAATGAAAGAAAACATAGGTAAATGTGACCAAAGTCACAGTATCAGAATCCCCAAAATAAGGACCACATGAGGAAAAAAGACAAAGCTGAACAGTGTGGTACTGGCATAAGGATAAACATATAGGCCAGTGGAATAGAATAGAGATGCCAGGAATAAAACCTCACATACGTGGTCAATTGATTTTTTTTTTTTACCCGGGGCTAGACAATGGTTTATTACATATGACACCAAAAGAACAAACAACAAAAATTAAGACAATGGGACATCATCAAGCCTTTTAAAACTTTCATCACGATTTTCAATTCTTTTGGATATATACCCAGGCCTGAAATTGTGGGTCACATAATTCCACGTTTAACTTTTTGAGGAACCTCTAAAGTGGTTTCCACAGCAGCTGCACAGATTTACATTCCCACTAAATATTCATAAGGGTTCCAGATTCTCCACATTCTTGTCAACATTGTTCATTTTCTATTTCCAGTGTTTTGGCTTTGTTTTATTTCTAATTATGATGGGTTAAAGTGGTTTTCATTTGTATTTCCCTCATAATTAATGAAGTTGTTTTCCTGTGTTTCCCATTATTTGCATATCTTCTTTGGAAAAATACCTATGCAAATCCTTTGCCCATTTTTAAACTGAATTCTCTTTTTACTGTCAGGTTATGCAAGTTCTTTATATATTCTGGGTACTAGACCCTATCAAATAAATGATTTTCTCCCATTCTGTAGGCTGTCTTTTCACTTTCTCAGTAATGTCCTTTGATGTACAAAAGTTTTAGATTTTGATGAAGTCCAATTTACCTATGTTTTCTTTTGTTGCTGCTCATATTTTTGGTGACAGCCCCCAATCTCTTTCAGTTGTGTTATGATACTTTGATAACATGCAGCACCTCAAATATGAAATTTTAGTTTAATAGAGATGACTTTGCTCACATACGATGTTCACTCTAAGATTACACTGTTGCTAACATAGCTAAAATCCTTAAAACAATACTTTTTCTAACAAAAGTAATGAAAAATTCCCTCTCCCCAGCCTGTTTTTTTAAGCATACCTCCTATAGAAGTACCAGTCATACTATTGCTTGTAAGAGAGCTGACATCTCTGACACTGTGTAGGCTTGGCTACTAGTGACAGTTGAAGCCGTATCAGAGGCCTGCTCAGAGGCAGATGAATCTGAATTGTTGTGAATGCAAGTGCTTGTGGTCTGAGATTCCATTCTTGAACAAGTGAGTGGTACTACAGTAAGTTCGTCTTCATGATCATCAACAGTGAGGTCCACAACTTCTGCTGCATTCTGCATCAAAGGCTGCATCACAAATCCTGCTGTAGGGGCTTGGCTCCTGTGGCCAACTTGTATGGAGGCTTGAACTTTGGCTCCAGGGATATCTGGAGTGTCCAAGTGTTGACCATTCTCCAGCTATCATGGTCTCCACCTCACTATCAGTCAAGGTAACATCAATTTCTGCATAGGCAGTGACCTGGGGAGTGGAGGAAGCTTCTGAAACCACCACATCTTCCTCAATTTCATCGATAGGTCCTGAAGGAAGAGGTGGATTGTTTTGGTGGTTTTTAGCAGCAGAATCAAACACATCTTCCTCTCCTGCAGGTGATGGGTGAGGAGAGGATTCATTCCTGAGCTCACTCTCACTGGAACTACTGGAACTAGGGAGCAGCGCATATTTTCTCAGAGCTGGCACTTCTTGTTTCTTCCTCTGCATTAACATCCTCTTTTTTTGTTTCTGTGTCCTCTGTGAGGAATTCTTTTTTACAAACCTCTTTCTGCATGGACTTTTCCTTAATGAACTGCCATGAAAACAGGATCTTTCCATTAACAGTCCTGAGACTGATTCAATCTCAGTGCGAGGCCACTTTTGGCATCGTGCACTATGAGTTCTACTTTGAGCATTCAATATTCCCTGGGAATGTCTTGCAGTGACTTCTTTATCCTCATCCGATGTCACAGTATCAGAATCCCCAAAATGAGGACCACATGAAGAAGAAAGACAATGTCTGAAAGAGGAATCATTATTTTCATCATTTAGTGTTTCTAGGTGTTGCCTCAATCCTGATATTCCCTGGTTCTCTTTAACACAATTTTGCATGTGTGAAGGGCCAGTCTGCTGGCTTTTGTGTTTTTTCTCATAGCAGCACATTTTCTTGCTCTTGTTGGTTACAATTTATGTCCTTCTCTTGTTTTTGAGAATCATCACACAAATGAGAGGATTCACTCCCCACTTCACTATTAATCATCTCAACTCCTGCAGGAACTCTTCTGGCTGCCCCAGTGGGCTCTGGATGCATGAGGGTTCCTTTAAGGCTCTTCTGTGTCTTTGACACATCAGGAGGAATCTCCCTCTTCACCCGCACTGTTAATGTATAGGGTTTGTTATATTCAGGAGTCCATTGAAACATGAGAAGCTTTAAGGAAGGCCTCTGAAGTTATCCTGGACGAGCCCCAAAAGATGATGCCGGGGTTCTTGTTCACAAAGCCAAAGAATGAGCTTCACAAACACTCAAGGTAGGAGAGCAAGGTACAGGCTTTTATTTAGAGATAGGGTGAAAGGACAGAGCTCCCAGCTCACACCAGGAGGGGACAAGAGAGTCCCTGGTCAATTGATTTTTTACAAGGATGCCAAGATCATTCAATAAAGGACAGTCTTTTCAACAAATGAGTGGGAAAATTTGGATTTCACATGCAAAGGAATACACTTGGTTTCTTATGTATACCATATGCAAAAATTAACTCAAAATGAATGAAAGACCTAAACTTAATAGCTTAAACAATAAAAATCTTAGAAGAAAACATAGGGGAACATAGGAGAAAATGTTCACAACATTGGATTTAGAATGATTTATTGGATATGACACAAAGAGCATAGGTGATAAAATAAAAAAATAGATAAATTGAACTTCAACAAAACTAAAAACATTTGTGTATCAAAGGACACTATCAATAGAGTGAAAAGTACCCACAGAATGGGAGACAATATTCAGAAATCACATATCTGATAGGGATTAATTACCCAAATATATAAATAACTTCCATAATACAATGAAAACAAAAAAATATACAACCCAATTCAAAAATGAGCAAGTGATTTAAGTAGATATTTCTCCAAAGAATATATACAAATGGTAATAAGCACATGAGAAGTTATTCAATATTACTAATCATTAGGGGAATGTAAATCAAAACTACAATGGTATATACCATTTTACTTTTATTAGGATGCCTATTGCAAATAAAATTTAAAATAGCAAGTGTTAGGAAAGATGTAGAGAGAGTAGAACCCTTGTACATTCCTGATAGGAAAGTAAAGTTCTGCAGCTCTTATGGAAAAGAGTGGGTAATTCCTCAAAAAGCTATTGTCATGTGACCCAGCCTTGCTAACTCCTAGGAACTGAAAGCGGAGAATGGAACAGATACTTGTAAGTACCAGTTCACTGCAGCATATTCACAATAGCTAAAAAGTGGAAACAACCCAAGTATCCATTAACAAACAGATAAAAAACATGTGTTTATGCAACGGAATATAAGTCAGCCTTAAAAAATAATGAAACTCTGATACATGGACCTTGAAAACATTATGCTAAGTGAAATAACTCAGGCACAAAAGGATAAATATTATATAATTCTACTTATATGAGGTATCTAGAGTAGGCAAATTCATAGAGACAGAAAGAAGATTATAGGTTGCCAGGGACTGAGATGAGGAGGAATCGGGGTTTGCTTAATTGTTAGAGTTTCTGTTTGGGGTGGTGAAAAAGTTTTGGGAAGAGAAAGTGGCGATGGTTACACAACAGTGTGAATATAATTAATGCTACTAAATTGTATTCTTTAAAAATGGTTAAAATTGCAAGTTTTATGTTACATATTTATGCAATTTTAAAAATTAATAATGTAATACATAAAAACTATCAAACTGTATTCCTTAAATAAGTGAATTGCATGGTATTCAAATATATCTCAAAAAGATGTTTAAAAAGGTAAAAACAACTCAGCAATCAGCTTTGAGGGGAAAAGGTAGTGATTCAAGAATTTCATAGGCAGCCAGCCAGTTGTTGATGTATATGAGCAGAAAAAAGACACTTTATATAGGACAGAGTTTAGAACATCTATTGTCTATGTTCCCTTCTTCAAAAAATTACTTGCAACCAAGGAACAACCTTTTATTTTAAAATACATATGTTAAAATAATATGTAACATAAAATTTGCCATTTTAACCATTTAGAAAGAGTACAAGTTAGTGGCATTAATTACCTTCGCACTATTGCATAATAATCACTACTATTCATTTTCCTTCCTATCCATTTATTTTAACCCACTTGGGCCACTATAACAAAATGCCGCAGACCGGGCAGCTTACAAACAACAGAAATTTATTTCTTACAGTTCTTGAGTCTGGGAACTCCCATATCATGGTGTCAGCATGGGCAGGTGAGAGCCCTCTTCTGGGCTACTGACTTCCCATCATGTCCTCTCATGGGGGAGGGAAAACAGGGGACTCTCTTGGGCTGCCTTTATAGGAGCTCCAATCTCATTCATGAAGGTTCCACACTGTGTCACTCAAGGCCCACCTCTTGATACCATCACACTGGTCATTAGGGTTTCAACACACCAGTTGTGGTGGTGTGGGGGGTGGAGATTGACACTAATATCCAGCCTATAGCATTGATTTTTACATTGCAGTCCAAACCCCTCCCCTTCCATGAATCTTCGGGTCTTTATATTTGGACTTTTTCTTTTTCTCTAGTCAGTACCTTTTCATTTGTATTTCCTTTATGCCATTTATTATGATCTCCTTTGTCCTTTTCATTTATAATTTCCCTTGGTCTATATTCTAGTATCTTTGGGGAAGGAATCCTATCTCAAACATCTTTGTATTCCCCAAAGCACCTGACAGTGCTTATCCACTTTAGGCACTTAATTAGCACTTGTTTCATTGAATTTTCTAAAGCCCTGCTGTCAATATTAATTATGTATTTTGATAATATGAACAATGTCATCAGTTTTAATTTATTTGAAATTAAATTGGTTTTTAGTTTTAAAAAAACAGCAAGATATACAGCACTAACCCTGCAATGTATATTAATGGTGTTTGGCAAATAGAATAAATAATTAGAGATTAAATATTTATTTGAAGAAAAACATTATTTCATTTTACGAATTCAGGAAATATTTGATTTTTGTGAGGCATACAAATTAATGGTTTTAATAAGAACATAAGGTCCTTAATACCAAGTTGCCATCCAAGTATAAAAGCAACTTCAGATACTATTAGTAGTACATGATAGTTTATGCATGGGTATTCTTAATCATACACCAGGTATATTGCTCCATTTTAAATGGAAAGAAGAATCTAAACATGGTTATTTGTCACCAGAGAAGGGGTAACTGGTCACCCAGGCAATAGCTGGATGACTCTGAGGATTAGTATTGTCAAACCATCACAACCTGAGGTATGGCACAGCCCATCCAAATGCCAGCTGCACCTTCACCACTAGCAAGGTAGGTGCACACTCCTGAGTACCCTCTGTGCGTCCATTCCTAACCAATGCTCAGCCCCACCCCATCTGACACTGGCTAACGCCCTGAGCAGCTTGAAACTGTTTGTTTTGACCCATTTTTATGTTAAGACGTGACGTTTTTCAAAGTTGTTTTTCAGTTAAGTTCCCAGAAGCAGTGTAACCACCAAACTGCACAAATGTGGGCAAAGCCTCACCTCAGGGGAGGCGTCTGCGCACAGGCCAGCAGGTGCTCCAGAGCAGCGCTTCACCTCGCAACCATGGTGACGCCCGCTCGGGGAGCATAACACAAATCCAGGTACAGGATGTGTGCAGAAGCATGATCAGCTAACACGCCTGTGCCCGCTTCACCCCACTTTACATGTAGCCACAGAACTTCCCAGTTAGGACATTCATCCCCCTCAGGAACCTGCTTCCCCTCAGGCAGCGAGTCATGGCTTTGAGACATGATGCCCCATGGTCTCCTGATTTGCTGCAGATAAAATTTACTTTGTGAGCCAATTACTTTGGGTGAAGGCTTTTGATTTCAGCTCACCAAAAAGCGGACCCAGGTCAGTTCAGTAACACATTCCCCACATTTTCTGAGGGACACGGTGTTTATGAGGATTAATACCATTCATCAAATTACAGTCAGCTGGACCTGGGGATTATTTTGTGTTATTTAATGTTAGCCTAGAGAGGGCTATCTTACCATTGGCAAGTAAAGGAATCATATTTCTCTAAGGTAAAATCGAGCCAAAATGACCAGGTGAGAAGGCAACAAAGGAGCCAAAAATTTAATAGGACGCAATCCCGGGTGATGTTCGCCAGTCTGGTTAGTCACAGGCCAGAGAAATCATGCCCAGCAGGGCAGGCAGTGAGTTTAAAAAGAATTTAGGGGGAGGGAGAGCGTAGGTTTACAGTGGCGTGAGGATTGGCTGGCCTAAGGCATGTGTCATTGGCCTTTACAGTAGACAAAGGACTAGGAAGTTACTACTCCTTTTCCAGGTTGGGAGAGGGCAACAGCCGGGGATTTTGGCAAGTCATTAGGCTGGAATCTCTTGGTTTCTTTCCCTTATTAGGCCAGGGTTGGGGGCTTTGCTGCCCCTTTCCTTACTTGGTGAGGGCTGAGCTCGTCTGATGTGCTCACCCCTCCCTCAGTGCCTCCAGCCTTATATTCCAGCCTTTTGGTAATAATAATGGGCACCGAGTCCATCTGGCTACTTCTGGCTGAGGAGGGGTGGCATGGGCAGGGTTAAGGCAGTGCTAGGCCGGAGGAGGTGTGGAGGGGAAGGGGCGACTACTGATGTACCAGCATAGTCTTGTGCATCTCTACTGTCCGACCTCTCTATCCGTGGCTGGAGGTCCCAGCAGATATGTTGTCCTTGTCTCTCAGGAAAGACATATCCAGCATGATTACCCAGGCTTCGCCCCGTCCAGTACTCTTGTCCTGAAGATGAGAGACAGATGGAGGCTCATTCGTAGCAGGCAGCCTGGATGAAGGAATGGAAAGACAAGCATTAGGTGGGACAAGGGGGTATCTTTCCTTGGGGATTTGGTGGAGGGTCTGGTACCCAGCAAATGGTATTGCCGAGTCCTCCTGTGCAACCAGTTTGGAAATTTATTAACATTATAGCAGCCCAGTACAATTGGCCTCCCTGCTGACAAGGTACTTTTTGAAAGTAGCATGTCTGGGGGACCAATTGGTGTAGTTGGAGCATACCCAATATGACGCACTGGTTACAGACCCAGTTTGCCAGAGCCAGATAGGTCATTGTGCCCAGCACCAGTGCAAGTATGGCACAAATGGAGGGGCCCTGTCTCTCTAGACCTCCACCTATAATGACTGGGCACTCATTTGAGCCTGGAGATGTGGTACCATGGGGAGTGTCCCAATAGCTTGGCA